GCTATCTATAGCTTTGTAGTTGACAATAAGCTATTTTAAAAATGCCAATAATTTCTCACGAGTTTAAGTTTGCCCTGCTTTCTGCCTGTGCAACATTTAGGGGAAGGGATTTATTTATTTATTTATTTATTTATTTAGCCTTTAAGATAACCTTTAGTTTCAGAGATCTTTTTGTACTTTGTTTCAAGGATGTTTGATTTGAAGGTGGTATTCTAGAATCTAAACCACAATCTGTGATTGGGTAAAATGATAATTTAAAAACACAGAGTTAACAGCAACCAACTTAACTCTTCAGGCCTAGAATAGAGGCCTTGGGCCTTTGTTCCACTATTTTAAGTAAGGCACCCTATCTAGAACATCCTTGACTAGATCCATTGTTTCTTAATTGATGTAACTCCAGCATGTGGACATTTCTGGTGCTAAGAACATCCATTTCTCATTCACTGATGGACACCAGGGTTTCATCTGCCAGCTACCAGTGGCATTACTCAATTGAAGCACACTTATTGTGATAAACACAAAGAACAATTGCCATGTAGATGGATGGGGGCAACTAGAAAAAACAAGCAGAATACTGCTGGGTCACCTCACAAATACAAATGGAGTGGCAATGAGGGGTCAGGGGGTGATGCCATTTATGGAGGCAAAGGGATATCTCCTTGTTTTCTATGAAATGAATAGAACAGGTATGTCATTACACAGAGGAAGAAAGGAAGAAAGGGAGGGAGGGAGGGAAGGAGGGAGAGAGGGAGGGATGGAGAGAGAGAGAGAGAGAGAGAGAGAGAGAGAGAGAGAGAGGCAAAGGGCAGTGGGAACCAAGCTCCTACTTTTGTGGAATTAGGTGCTACATATTAAGCACAGACAAAGCAATGTTGATTCACGAAGACAATAACATGATATTAAACCAAGGGTGTTTGGGGAGGACATGGGAGGCACAGTTTTGGCATAATTTGCCGACCTCATCACTACAGGTGAGGAGAATGGCACTGTGTTTCCCAGTTAGACGGTTCAGCAGTAATATGAGAGATAAATGGTAACTTGAACCAGGAATTAGTAATGATAACAACAAATGGCCAAATTCATGTTGTTGCCTGCAATTCAGTGGGATGACTGGGCAATAACAAATCAATGACAAACACTAGGATTTTAGAAAAGAACTGTTGAATGGCAGTGTCGCCAAGATGCTAAAAGACTGATGGGCACCGCCACAGTTCTAGGTTAGTATTGGAGAAGAAATCTCTGCATAAGCCTACTCAAGACAGCCTGAATACAAAAGGGAGAGATGTGTGAGTGGGGAAAATGACTGCAACTGATCACAGGAAGACAATTCCTGCAAGGCACAGAAAGGAGGGATCCCTTCAAAATAAGATCATACTGAAGGTGAACAATTATTATAAAAAAAAACCCCAGAGATTTTGGCATACATTTGCATTTATTGATTTTAAAAGATTTATTTCTATGTGTGTGAGTGTTTTGTCTTCACATGTACCATGTGCTTGTAGTATCCACAGAAGCCAGAAGAAGGCGTCTGATCCCCTAGAATGGAGTTACAGATGGTTGTAAACTACCCTGTGGATGCTAAGAACTGAACCCAGTTCTCTGCAAGAGCAGCAAGTGCTCATCCATGGAGCCATTTCTCCAGTCCTGAAATCACCATCTTACAAAAGCATACAACAGACTACCATGCATCTAGAACATAACATCTCATGAGAGATGGAGACTAATATTAAGGACTAGCAGTAAAGAAAAGAAACAGAATACAGTCTCCAGCCTGTAGCCACATTACCCTATACAGTTCTCACCCTGTGCAGAGCAGACTGGACTAGGAAGGCTCATCTGACTCAAGCTGAGCCAAATGTAGCTTCTGTCTTAGAGTTTGGGCTGAAGATCACATGGTATCTGGATCTACTTTGAGGGAGACTCAAAAGTCTGAATGCCGATATGTTAATAGAGGAACAAGATGCTGCCCTCATGTGACTCTTGGAGCCTGAGAGGTGGGAAAGTTGGAAAGAGAAGAGAAAATGCTGACAACACAGGTCAATGTGTAATGTAATGGTTCCAGCTGCTTGGCTGATTTCTTCAGACTCTGTAAACGTCCAGAAACCCAGTCCCCGAGGTGTGTATTCTGTTACTTTCACTAAAATGAAGGTAAGATCACGCAGAACAAAATTTCCCATTCTGGAAAAAAGTGTTCTGTCAATGGAAGAGCATGTGGAAAGGGGTTACGTGGAGGAACACAGGTGTCTCTGTCTCCTGGTCAATCTTTACACTGGCCCATGTAATAAAGGACACGTGCCATTGCACCAGAAAGAACTGTTTTCAGATCACAGAGCTGGAAACAGCATACAAAACCTGTTGCTAAACTGCAAATACCTCACATGAGAGACTGACCAAGACTCACCTAACCTGTGACAGCTATACACACACCCCGAATCACCAACATTTTAACTTTTAGTTGGTGTAATATATAAAACACAGAAAAATGTACTGATTTTCATAAGCTGAGCATAACTGTGCAATCAGTTTTTATCTGTCCAGACTTAGAACATCAAATAAAGAATCAATCGAATGAGTCTGCTTTTTTTTTCTCTGCTCTTTTGAACACAGTTATGATTTGTACACTTTTCTCAGCCTTTCACACAACCATGTTAGGCCGAATATTATGCCAGTTTTAGAAGAGAAAACTAAGGCTTAAGGGATTTATTGATATGCCCCAGCTCGTGTATGGAAACCAAACTCAGCTCTGACTCCCAGAATGCTCCCAACTGCCACCTGCCTTATTTGGACAAGTGGTGTGTGTGTGTGTGTGTGTGTGTGTGTGTGTGTGTGTGTGTGTAAAAGATTCAAAGATTAAAAATAAGTCTTTAATAGACACATAATATCACCTGCCATTATTAGGCTTAGGCCTTACAAAACAAGCCAGTAATTACAAGAGATACTCTAGACATAGACTTAAGATCAGGAATAGGAGGCAAATAAAAGCATGCTTAAGAAACCCAAGCCAAAGACCCATCTCACTGTGATGGGTAGGATTGGGTTCAGGAAAAATGGAAGGGAGACTCGACTGAAGCTGCAAAGGTAGATGTGCAGAGAGAATGGAAGCATTGAAAACCATCCCCAAGTGTGCTAGCCTAAGAATCTAGGGTGACAACATAATCTAGAACATGGTTGCTTTTGTGCAGACTGAGGATGTGAATTCAATATCTGTATAACCAGGAGTGATACTGCACACATAGAGTAAAATTTTATGGCACGATTTTCCAGTATTTTCTATCATTCTCTTTCCCTTTCTCTCTCCCACCCATCTCTTTCTGAATGTGTGATATGTATATCCATGTGTATGTGAGGATATACCCATGTACACACATGTGGGGAGATGAGGAATGTCAAATATCTTCTATTGCCTACCTCCTTGTTTTACTATTTTTAAAATCATAGTTATTTGTTGATTGTTTTGTGTGTGTGTGTGTGTGTGTGTGTGTGTGTGTGTGTGTGTGGACCCATGTGCCATAAATTATGTGTAGAGTACAGAGAAAAACTTTCTGTTCTTTCCTTGTACCATATAGGTCCTGGAGTACAACTCAACTCCTGGGACTTGGTAGCAAATGCTTTTAACCACTGAGTTGTATTGCCATCTTTGATAAATTTTTTTTGAGACAGGGTCTCTCAGTGAACCCCAAACTTACTGCTTCTGCTAGTATTCTTGGCCAGTGAATTACCAGGATCTGCTTGTTTTTACCCCCAGTACTGCAGCTAGAGGCAAAACCTGGGTTTTAACATGCACTAGGTATATGAAGTCTGATCTTGCTTACACAGCAAGCACTCTTAGCCACAGAGGCAAGCCCCAATCCACACTTACTTTACCTGTGGGTGAAATTAGTGGGATCTGTGTTTGTTACTTTGGGTGATTTCTTATTATAATTAACTGAATAATAGCATAATTAATGTGGGAAGAGTATATGTATTTTTTAAATTAATCCTGGTAAACATCCTCCCTTGAGACTTGTTCTGTATGATTAAATATATATATATATATATATATATATATATATATATCTTTCTACTCGGCAACGACTCACTGAAGTGTTCCAGCCAGTCACCAGTTAAGAGGGCTTACTGCTCTTCCAGAGGACCTGATTTCCATTGCCAGCACTCAGGTAGGCAGTTCATGACTGCATATAACACCAGCCACAGGGACTCTGACACCCTCTTCTGGCCTCAGGACATACACAGCACTCATACATATAAATATACAGAAGTAAATATTGGAGGAAAAGGAAACAAGTGACTATGTTGGAAGATTTTAGTCAGCATAGACATTTGTTTCATCTAGACAGCAACTGCCTGAAGTTCAAAACAAACTGTGGAATTTACATATTCATAAATGTGTATTTGCTTTTGCAAGTAATTTGCAAGGTTGTACTCCAAGTTATCTTATATTTTTCCTCAAAAATAGGATGGTCAGCTTCATTTTTCTTAAAACCCATTAATTTCTTATCTTAAAGAAAAGCAGTAGTCTGTATAATTTAGGCTTATATTTACCTTACTTAACCTTCTTTCATTTCCAAACAAGCTGAATAAAACAATGATCCCAATAAAGAAACAAACAGAAAGATTGAGGAAGGAAATGTTAACAAGTAACAATTCTAGAGCCCAATAAGAACTCAAGATAGATTGTAAGTAGCTCCACAAACCTAGAGGGGTGGCACATCCGTGGATTTGAGAAAGTAGTTTGCTATGTGCATTAATTAAGTATATTTTCTTGTACCACTCCACACCCTTTTGCTTATGTTTTAGAGCTTGTCACACACCTGCACTTCTTTATGCCTTTCATATCAGATGAGCAACAGCATACATTGTTGCTATAGTTTACCAGGAGATGAGCAACAGTTAGCATACATTGTTGCTATCACTTACCTGATGAGCAACAGTTAACATACATTGTTGCTATCGCTTACCAGATGACCAACATTTAGCACACATTGCTATTTCTTACTTACAGCCACGGCCTCCAGGATTTGCTTCACTGCATCTGCAGCATCACGCTCACTATAATATCCCTTTTCGACAATCCTAAAAAATAAATACAAATGCTTCTCAGACACATACATTTAGCTGAGCGGATTTTAAAGGAAGTTAATTAAATCAATGTCAGAGAAGACACATCTGAACAATTGCAACAGCCTTTTCCAACACCAGGGGAAGAACCCATAAAACTGCCATTCTGAAACCTTGGCTTTGCTAAGAAAATGAAAAACATTCATTTTCTCTCAGCTTAAGTTATCCACACTCCTTGGGGAGAGGCAACTGCCTTATTTTAACTTTAAAGTATACATTATTTTAAACATATGCCAAGTAGCTGTTATGCTACACATAACCCAATGACTAATTAACAGAAAATATTTATTTTTGCCTATTTACTTTCTTTCCTGTTTTATTGTTTTAAACTAAATAGTAGTTATCCAAACAATAGTAAATCTTAAAATCATCACCATACCTACGAGATCAAACCTGTAAAATACAGTAAACCTTTAATATTGTCAAACAAGCTGCACTGCACTCTTCCCTATGGTAAGATACCTTGCTCAGCTTTGATACAGGAGGAAGGGCTTAGTTTTGCTTCAACTTCCTATGCCAGACTTTGTTGACTCAAGGAAGGCCTTAGCCCCTCTGAGGAGTGGACAAAGGGGTGGGATGGGAGGAAAGGGTGACAGGAGAAGGGGAGGGAGAGAGCAACTGGGGTTGGTATGTAAAATAAAAAATAAATTTTTAGAAAAAGATTGTTCATTATAATTACTTTTTAAATAAAACTTGTTTTTTTTTTCATAAAATAACTTCATCTTGGTTTTATTTTTAAAAGTTACAGCAAGAAGCTGCATGTAGGAATTAAGACCTTGGCTAAGAATTAAGCTGTAACCACAGGAAAACAAAAAACATGTTTTCTAAGGCAAAATGCTCCTTTTGAAAGTACTCTGATTCTTGGAACCTGAGAACCACCACCGTCCGCTTCCCCCTCCTCCATCTGGTGTCAGGGTATATGAGCCAGCCCCCGGAGTAAAATAAAAGAAGAGCCTTCTTAACATCAAGCAAGAGTCCTGTGTTATTAATCCCAACACCCTCTGCAGAATTTCAGCCCCCTGTTGTGCAGGTGGGACAGCTACACATTCTCAAAGCAACTGATATTGATAACAGAATTTAAAACCTCTAAAATGTTTTGAAAGTGGGACATAGAGGAGGAAATGCAAGACAGAATAGTTACGATAAAAATGAAAGAAATATAAGAAAGGTCCTTAAAGATTATAGCTATTAAAATTCACAAAGGTACATGATTTTATTTTCAACCTAGCTATTCATTAAAAACTGCAAAACAAAATTCATAATCTCGTAAAAGAAGATAGAACATCCTAATATCCACTATTGTTTTATCATTTAGACACTTAAAATTTATTTACTTTTCCTAATCATGGATGTTGATCATATTCACTCCTCCTGGATCTGCATGACCTTCCTTAGCTACCCAATAAAATCTCGTTCTCTAGTTCTCTCCACTCACCCCCCCCCATCTCTCTCTTGTGCACACGCATGCGCACTCACTTCCCATATACACTGGCCATGAGAGCTTTCATTGAAGTGACCGACCTACTGAAGGTCACATCCTTAAAGAAAATTGATTTGATCAGTGAAACAAGAGACACATGCCCCACCTACACCTGGAGGTGGAGTATCTGAGGTCCAAGCTAGATAACCCTGCTCTCTAGGCAGCAAGCTGTAGAGGCACATTCCTTGCCCCAACCCATCCACCACAGCCCCAGTCACCAGGCAGCAGTACCCCCTCCCCCAACTGCATCAGTAAACAAAGGAACTGCATGCCCCACCTACAACTGGAGGAAGAGAAACCTACAGGGGAACAGAGTTCACCTGCACTAATCGGAAGAAAGGATGGCAGTGTAGGAACACACTCCACAACATAAAGAGCAATGTGGCAGCACTAGAAATTAGGGATTCACAACAGCAAGACCTGAACATCCCAACGCAGATGAAGCAGAAGAAAACGACCTTAAAAATAACTTTGTGAAGGTGACAGAGGCCCCTAAACAGGAAATGAAAAATTCCCTTAAACAAATGGAGGAAAAGACAAACAAAAAAAATTAGAAGAAATCAATAAATCCTGTAAAGGAAGCCAAGAAAATTAAGAAAAAACAAACAAGCAGGGTGTTGGTGGCCTACTCCTTTAATCCCAGAACCCGGGAGGCAGAGTTCAAGGTCAGCCTGGTCTACAAAGCTAGTTTCAGGACAGGCTCCAAAGCAATACGAGAAACCCTATCTAAAAAAAAAAAAAAAAAAAAAAAAAAAAAAAAAAAAGAAAAAAGAAAAAACAAACAAGTGAAGACTTGAAAACGAGTCCAAGACTTGAAAATTCAAATAGAAGCAATAAAGAAACACAAACTGAGGAATTCTGGAACTGTAAAATCTAAGTAAATAAACAGAAACTACAGAAGCAAGCATAACCAACAGAATGCAAGAGATGAAAGAGGGAATCTCAGGTGTTGAAGATATGATAGAGGAAATAGATTCACTGGCCAAAGAAAGCTTTAAAGCCAACAAATTCTTAGTCTGGGACACCATGAAAAGACAAAACCTAAGAATAACAGGGATAGAAGAAGTCCAGCTCAAAGGCACAGAAACATATTCAACAAAATCATAAAAGGAAACTTTCCCAACCTAAAGAAGAATATGCCTATGATGAAGGTGCAAGAAGCTTATAGAACACCAAATAGACTGGACCAAAAAAAAAAAAAAAAAAAAAAAAAAAAAAAGTCCCCTGATCATATAATAATCAAAATACTAAACACAGAGTAAAGAAAGAATACTAAGTACTGCACAGGAAAAAGTCCAAATAAGATAAGATACAAGGCAGTCCTATCAGAATTACACCCAACTTCTCAATGGAAACTCGGAACTCTGAAAGCCAGAAGGTCCTAGATAGATGTTCTGCAGACACTAAGAGAGCAGCCCAGCACAGCTTTCAATCACCATAGATGGAGAAAACAATATATTCCATGGAAAAACTAGATTTAAACAATACCTATGCACAAATCCAGCCCTACAGAAAGTAGTAGAAGGAAAACTAGGAAGTTAGCTAGACCCAAAAAACACAAGCAACAGATAACTTCACACCAGAAAACCTCAAAGAAGGAAAACACAGGAACCACCAACAACAACACCAAACACAACATTAATTAACCATCACTGGTCATTAATATCTCTTAATATCAATGGTCTCAATTCACCTACAAAAAAGACACAGGCTATCAGAATGGATACAAAACCAGGACCCATCCTTCTGATGCATACAAGAAAGACACCTCAACCTCAACGACAGACATTACCTCAGAATAGATGGTTGGGAAAAGATTTTCCAGTTGAATAGACATAAGAAACAAGTGGATGCAGCTACCCTAATATCTGAAAAAATAGACTTCAAACTATAATTAATCAAGAAAGACAGAGAAGGGCATTTCATAGTCTTCACAGGGAAAATCCATTAAGATAAATTCTCAATTCTAAACATTTAGGCCCAAATACAAGGGCACCCACATTTACTCAAGATAAGACTTTATCACAGCAGTCTTCCTGAGTTAGCAGAGCTAGCTTGCACAACTATGCAGTTATTTCTAGTTGTCTGTCAACTATACAGCCCTTAGAAGTTTCTTTACATTTGGGAAGACAATGTTTTACTAACTATAATTTCCTTATTGTACTTTGGTGTAAGTCTCAAGCTTTAACCTAAATGAAGTATTTATGTATATTTACTTGGGTATAAAATATATGGGTGCCTGGTATGAACTAAATCTTTGTATACTCTAAAACTTAATATGTTAAACCCTAATTTGCCTATGGACCTGTTCTAATGGCATTAGCTGTTTGGAAGTAGAGTCTCTGGTGGACAATTGGGTCACAAGGGTGGGACCCTCAAGTAGTATTAATGTTCTTATAGAGGAGACGTTATCCCTTGTACCACATGGAAACATTGTATGCAAGCATCTTCATGAATCTAGAAATCAGCCCCTCACCAGAAGCTGATCTCCTACCATCCCAGTCTTTCACTTCCCAGACTCAGAATTGTAAGAAATCTATTTCTGTTGGTTATAAGCCACCCATCCTAAGGAATTGTTATACCAATGTTAATGTAACAGTGCAGTGCCTGGATTCACAAATTATTATGTGAATGTTCAGGACTGTTTGGAAAGAGAAATGACAATTAGTAAAATAGTTCATCTAATTAACAGAGAGTGTGTATTACAACAGATATAGTCACTCATTAGATAGGTATCATGGAGTGACTATGGTGTATTGGGCACTCAGGAATGAACAAGACATGCTCCCTGCACTGATGGGGTTTCTCCTTATGTAAATAGAGCAACCAACAGTCTAAACACTATGTTACAGGCCTGGAGAATGGCTAGAGAAGCCTGATAAAGGTAGTAATCTAGGGTTGGAATCTTGTGGCAGAGTGATAGCTCAGTTCAGACCTGAAAAGTGAGCCTAAGTTTCACATACGCAAAAATGCAGAGAATAGGGCTGAGAGTGTATGACGAGCACAGGATGCGGCAGGCAGGAAGCCATCCCCAAAAGTGGAAATAAGGCTACAGTGGGAATTAGAACAGGAGGATTGTGGCAATCTTCATCAATACATTTTTCATCAACATGAACTAGGTAGTTTCTGGAAGTAAAGAGGATAAGGTTTGAATTGGTCCATGCAGGACTACAGATAATGAAGGAATTATCATAGATCTATACACTCACATACAGATATGATATACTATGTCAGAGTTCATATAATGGAAGGATTTATTACCTCTCTCATGAGGAACATCAGCATTCTTTAGCAGGTACACAGGACAAAGACTACATTCTGCTGCCTCCTCTGCCTCATCTCAACCTGAATCCACATACTTTATCTTGGCTTCTATAACCCTTCCTCCTATGATCTTCCAGAATCCTCATGCTACTAGGACTTTTGTTCTCAGACGACTTTTAATCTTTGTCACAGGATTAGGTTTCTGGGCTTC